TTTATTTTAATTGTATTTTCTTAATTAAAGCTAATTAAAAAGCCCAGGTGAGACTGTTCTTTATGGTAGTTTGGTTATAGTTGGCCACCCAACGTGTGGCTCAAATGATTTATCCAGTTGCGGAAAAAACCATGTTTAGTTTAAGACTCCAGGACTTTGACTCGTATTGTTTTTCAGGTTTTAAGTACTACTTCCACCAGCGAAGTCCTCACCTGAAGATTATTTTGGAAATCAAAGCTAATTTAATATTCATCAAAGATTTTGAATAACATGAAGTATCGGTTTCATCCTCACCTGAAGATAACAGATAAGAGATTTTCATTTAATAGCATTTAACTTAATAAGAAGATAAGAGATTTTCACTTAATAAGCATTTAACTTAAATAAGATATCAGATTTTCACTTAATAAGCAAAATAAAATGCTAACTATAACATTGTTAATACTTTAATAATATGGAATGGAATATGTCATTAAAAACGAAACAGAACCATACATAAAGTATTAAGCTGTTTCCTTTTAGATATGTTGCACTTTAAGAATTTATATTTGTCTTACATTGTTTTAAATAATTTATTTTTATTTAAATTTCCTGTTTTTTAATTCTATGTTCTAATTGAAGATTAATTAATTTTGTTTTCATTGGAAGTCAACACAAGTAAAATTTTATTTCAGTTCTGAATGAAAAGTGTTTACGTAGCAAAATGTTATTTTTATTCTGACTGATATATACTCCCGGTTATATATTAGTTACAAAATATATTAACAAATATTTTTTTTCCTCTTTGAAAATAGAAATGATTAAAAAGTGAAAAGGGTTTTATCTAATATATTATTTAAACTGTGCCACTAATGTTTTTTTATTCTATAAGAATACTTCTATTGAATTAATATTTTAGTTGCTGTTATTCTGAAAAGGCATTCTAATACTTGCTGCATTTTCAAATTGTGAGTTAATAAAAATTTTTAATTACTATTTTGTAATAATTGAAAACAACTTATACATCTAATTGTGTTTTTCAAGGAGAACTATAGTCGAAAATTAATTTCTTAGAGCATTTAGAATTTTGTAGACATCACAGGCATTACTAATAGAAGATTTATCAAAGTTAAATTCTATTTTGGGGATTTTATGTTTACTAAATTTGTGTATTTTATTGTCCATTAGCAAGTGCACCAATCTTTGTAAAATGTTAGTTTAATTTTCAAAGTAATCTCAGATTAATGATTTTGTTCGATGTTGTTTTTCATATATTATATAATTGTTAAGGGTAATTAAGAAATTCATAAAATTTCTGAACAAAAAATTTTTCTTCAAACAAATATTGAACTTTTCAATGGACATTGAAAGTACAATAACATGCATTTTGGGGACTAGCCAGAAAAAAGTATCTACAAGTGTTAGCCACAGAACTGGGTCTGCCCATCTCAGATAATTTAAAAGTGATTAAACTTGAAGAGCTAATTACGCACGTAGACAAAAAATTCTATTAATTTTCAATTAAGTTTTGAAACATCCATGTTAGCTAATCTTTGAAGTGACAAAGGTAAACATCTACATGCAAAACGACGTACTCAACTAAATCGCTTATTGCAAAAATTCAAAACTACAGCATAGAATCAGGGGGACATCCAACTTCCATGTAGTGAACTTTTCTAGAAACATTCTGATTCTCCATTGTTGAATGAAGCATTCAGATTCAATGAACTATGAAGAGAATCATTCTGATTCTATGCTGTGCAATGAATCATTCTGATTCAATGGAGTTTTGAAAAGAATCATCCCAATTCAATGAATTATGAAGAGAATCATCCCGATTCAATGAAGTTAGAAGTGAATCATCCCGATTAAGGACGTTTTGAGTGAATCATCCTGATTCTATACTGTGCAATGAATCATCTCGATTCAATGAAGTTTGAGGTGAATCACCCCAATTAAATGAAGTATGAAGAGAATCATCCTGATTCTAAGCTGCTGATGAATTATCCCGATTCAATGAAGTACAAAGAGAATCATCCTGATTCTATGGAGTTTTGAATGAATCATCCTGATTCAATGAAGCTTGAAGAGAATCATCCTGATTCTATGCTGCTGATGAATCATCCTGATTTAATGAAGAGTATGACAAGAAAAAAAATATATATTATGGTCATCGACATCAAAAGGCTTCTTACGAACCAAGTGATAGAGTATGGGTGACATTACATCCTATTTGCATATCACAAAATAGAAAGCATAAAAATTCCATGCCTAAATATGAAGGACCTTATTTAGTGATAACAATCGTTCACACACTATGTATGATATTGCTCATCCAGCTAAGCCAGATAAAGTCCTTGGGATTTACCATAGCTCAGCAGCCTTACGTGCTTATGAACTGACTGTTTCAGGAGATATAAAGGGACTGTAACACATCTTCGGAGACAAGGCAGACCAAAGAAACATATTTCTGGCTCTTCAGCGAGCCAGAGGATGTAACCCCATGGCTTAATGAGCACCACCTAGCAGGCACCAGGGAAAACATTGGTCAAAAAAGACAACAGCTTTCAGCCAGTGTACTGGAATCAAGGACTAAGCATGGTACCCTCCGAGATTTATTTATTTTGCAACTTAAATGTGTAATTATAACACCCTTAAGTTTAAAGTTTCATTTTAATTGTGTTTTCTTAATTAAAGCTAATTAAAAAGCCCAGATGAGTCTTTTGTTTATGGTAATTTTGTTATATATTAAAGATTTAAAAAGTGCAGTTTATTGGGATGAAATAATTACCGTATTTAATGGCATATAAGATGCACCCTTATTTAGACGGCCACACACAAGGAAAAAAAGTTTCAATAGCGTGGTTTCTTTTAGTTCTCACGTTTCGTAAAAGCCAAATAAACAATTATTGAATGCAATTACCTTCACGTATGAGACTGTGTCCTTCACGTATAAGATGCAGATAACTTTTTTGAGACCAAATTTAGAGAAAAAAGTGCATCTTATATGCCGTCAAAATCCAGTAAACATCAAAATCTGAGAAGATTTTTTTAATAAACATGAACAGAAAGTAAAAGTAGATAGATATAATCCAAATTTATGTAAACAAGTGCGGAATTTTTCATTGAAATATATTATGAGAGAATTTTTATTATATTATTATATTATCTCACATATATATGCAAATCTTAAAAGAAATGTTTATTAATAAATATACTGAGACCTAAATATTTTTTTTTTTTTTTTTTTTTTTTTTTTTTTTTTTTTTTAAGTTTTAACTAAATAAATGGATGAATTCAATAATCTCAGATATTGTACTAAAACTCTAAAATTTAAAGATTTAAAGCCTGGGATACAAAAATTCAAAACTAAATTTGGAGATATCCAGTATAGTAAAAATAGAAGTAGATAAATGAAGATAAAATGTATTATTTTTCATAATGTCATGGAAAACTTTCTGGCAATGCAATCAAGAAAATTAATAAAGGAAATTACATATTCAACTATAAAGGTATGATTGGTGGAGAATATTCATATGAAATAGAAAAAGAATCTTTAAAATGTATAATTTTTTAGTGTTTCTATTTTTTATAAATATTTTTAATCTTTTTCTGTGTTATAATTTCAGATTTTTAAAAATACCTAAACCCTTTAACTGCCATGGGCATATATATATATATATATATATGTGCCTTGCTCAGCCTATACGCCTTGCTGAGATGATGCATTAACAGCCCCGGGGTGTTTCGGAAGAGTGTAATATTCCGAAATACTATCATTTGCTTTGCGCTGCTACTAGTAAAATTATTCACAAAGCTTTGGAATGCAGCACCACAATGACCTTGATATAGTATGCGAAGCAGGATACTATTTCAGAGAAAATGAGAGGGGGATGTTTCTGAAACGGTAAAAGTAATGACTGTGGGTTATTGCTCATGTTTCTGTTTGAGTAGAACGTATTTTTTTTTATTCTGTGTCTTCCATTTTCGTTTACTGTTTGCAGTAGTTGCTTTTTGTAATAGGTGGTTGTGAAAGAAATTGACTTCGTGATTATTGCTCGTGTTTCTGATTCAGTAAAATGTTCTGTATCTTCCATTGTCGTTTACTGTTTGTAGTCCATGCCAGGAATAAAGAAAGATATAATGGATGTTTCAAATCCATTTATCCCTTTTTGAATTATTTACTGATAAGCTGCTTGTCCTTCATATTGTTACTTAAACTAACCATTTTGCAGACCAGTATATGAACCAACATCCTGCAAAAGACAAATCATGAACAAAATTGTGGCATCTAACCAATTCACAAGAAATATGCTTCTTTATACTGATTTTACAAGGCATAACACTGAAACCTGATATTGCACTTTACTGGTCTAAAAATAAATTGATCGTAACTTCATTTTGGGGAATTTTTTATTATTATTATTATTTATTTTGGAGGGTTATACATAATTTTTTATTATACAAACATAATTTCTATTATACTTACATTTTTTATTATACTTTTACTCTAAACATTAAATTTTGTATTTTCATTTTTTCTTTCATTCTTTATTTTGTGAAAGTAAACAGTTTTTAGACAGCAAAAGTTGCATTCATTCCCCCCCCCTTGTATATTTTCTGCAGAAGTTAAGGGGTTAAAATGCTATGAAAAAAAAAGTTTGAAATTAGTTTTTTATAAATATTTTCATCTTTTTTCATATTTTTTATTGTTTTTATACAGAAATAACATACTTTGCTGAGTTTTGAGGGTGTCTCAAAATGTCATAAAAAAAGGGTGAAATGTTTATTACTAAGCAACATATGTACCCCACTAGGAACAGATTTATTTTAGACAGATGTTGATAAGATCAACATCTATTTATAAAAAAATGTCTGTTTTCTATAGTGAAGTATATATGCTGCTCATAAAATTATATATGCTTCAGTAAAATTAAACTGTAAAATGAAGATTACATATAACATTACTTTCAAAGATCTAATTCTAAAATAGAGCCTGTTAAATAAAGGAAGTAACTTACATTAGCAATTCTTAAATTATTTGCAATGTTTTCCAACTCTGCTTTTATAGTATCATGCTTTTTTAATTCTTTTATCAACTTGAGTGTAACTTTTATTATGTCTTTTTGTACTACAAGTGATTCCTGTAAAAAATAAATTAATCATAAATCTTAAATAATATAAACAATGAAAAAAGCAAGATCACATTAAAAAATTTCAAAAGTGCATGTATCTACTTTCTTTTTATAATAGCTATATGTCAAAAACTTTATTTGCGATCTTTTCGCTTTTTTCCTGGACAAAAAATTTATAACACATTTTTAAAAGGAATTAAATGGGTAAGGAAAATTTAATTTACTTGCAATATGTTTCAACCACTTAGAATTGTGTATATCCTCTAAATTATAATACATAACTTACAATAATCATGGTAAACAAAATTGAGTAATGAACAACTGGTATTAAAATACACTAATTAGATAATATTTTATGAATATAATAAACACACATATATTTAAAAAAAAAAAAAAAAAGAGAGAGAGAGAGAAAGGAAAATTCTATTTGTTCATTTGCAATAAAAATAGAAACAAAATTTCTTCTTGCTGAGTTAAAAACTGGGGAGGGGAATTCATTTTATTGCTTCATTAATTCTAAAAAGCCATTATTGGAATGAGGAAGAATGATGATAAGCAGTAATGATATTCTTGCAGTATTTGATATTTCCTAGAAACTCTCAAAAGAGTAAACTTTCTTAATTTAAGGGAGATTATTATCTTAAGGAACATGTTTAGATAAAATCCTAGTATACAGCATGGTCTTGGAGCGATTTTGAAAATTGTCAGCAACACCAAAATGACTCGTTCACTGTTCTTCACAAAAACCCCGTTCATAATGTCACCAAATCCCATGTATACCGTATACTAGGATTAAACCCATGTTTATTATTCAAATATTAAATTTTCTAACTCAGATTTAAAAGTTGTTAACAAACAGAATGAAACTGATAAAATCTAAGACTTTTAGAATTACTACTAAAAACTTAAAAAGTCTAAAATGCAATAAAAATTTAAGTTATATTTTGTTCAAAAATTATTCAAATTAAATATGTACCATAATTTCTAGAAGAAACACCACTGCATTTCTACTCATGCAGCACTTAGGTGCACTTAAAAAAAATATTTCCTATGATGTCTGTAAGAAATTTCACGTGGAAATATATTTTAAACGCCAAAGAGGGCATAAATCTTTCATGATGTATATATACTTCTTGTTCTTGGATCCGGCACCGCCAGTTGAATGTGTGTTAGACGTGAATAAACTTGGCAGTTTAGAAATCTGATTCGTAATGTTCATTTATCTTGATGTTATGTGTGATTTGAATTAGTGTTTTTTGAACCAGGATATCTTGAAATTCTTGACATTTAATATAATATTTTATGTTTTTGGCGCCCAACAGTTGCGCACGTACAATTTTTTTTATTTATAATGCGGTGTTTTTCGTTTTAGTGAAAGTTTATTCCTTTGCACTGAACGCGGTAGGATTAACGTTCAGAATACTTGTGTATGTGCTTCACCAGGAAAGTGAGTTACTAAATTAGGAATTAACCATTTGATGCCTGCACCAGGTAAGAGAATAAAATTACTTTTGTTGTTATTATGGCAGACGATATTATTAAATTGAAATTTACTAGAAAAGTCATGAGACAAGCTATTTCTAAAATAATAAATGTACTAGAACCTGAAATTAAAAAAGACATTTGGGATAAGAATATGGTAGAAGAAAATGTGTTTTTGCTTACCTCTAAACAGTCTGCGTTGAAAGAAATTAATGAAAAAATATTGGATTGTTTTAAAGGGGATGAGTCTGAAATTGAGAAAGAATGTAATACTGTGTTAGAGTATGATGAAAAAATGAGTTTATGTATTTTTAGGGCTAAAAAGAAACCTAATTTAAATTCTCAGATAGTAAGCATTGAAAGTGAATCGCCTGGTATTCATACTGCTGACGTAAAGGTCGAAAACAAACATTCGGTTACCTAAAATTTCAATTCCTAAATATTATGGTGGTCCTAGTTTATTTTTGGAATTTTATAATTCCTTTGAAAATGCTATTGGTAATAATAATGAGTTAACAAAGGTCGAGAGGTTTACCTATCTTAAATCCTTACTTGCAGGACCTGCTTTAAGTGCAGTATCCGGGTTTGCACTATCTAATGAAAATTATGATGCCTCTATAAGTTTAATTAAAGAAAGATTTGGACGAACAGATTTGGTAATATCTTCACACATGAATAAACTCTTGAATCTTGAACCGGTTAGAAGTTCGTCCAATGTGAAAGCACATTAAGAACACTATATGATTCCTGTGAAATCAATATAAGAAGTTTAAATTCATTAAGTATTGTGTCGGAAGCTTACGAACCCTTTTAGGACCTGTTATTTTAAAGCTTTTGCCAGACGATATGAATCTGGAGTTTAATAGAAAAAGAAACTCTAAACTGCAATATAGCCTAACAGAACTTCTCGAATTCATTAGATTGGAAGTTGACAGTCGGGAAGCTTCTAATTTAATAATAAACTCAAAGAAAAGAGACACAAATTACGGTGTTAAGCAGAATAAAAATAATTACTTAGGGGCAAGTGTTCCTACTGCTTAGGCCTTAGCTACAGTGACTAAGCCGTATTGTTTCTATTGTAATCAAAATACAAATGATGTAGGAAAATGTGAGAAAACAAATGAGCAAAAAAGAGCGATATAAAATGCCATGGACGTCGTTACACATGTTTTAAGAGAGGCCATGTATCTTCCAGATGTAAAATGAAACTTCAACCTTGTGAGTTGTGTAATGGTTTAAATCATAAAAAGCTATTTTGTAAAAATAATCTTCCTGAAGTGGAAGCAGTTTCAGATGTTAAACAGAAAGTAGTGACGATATCAGATTCTAAGCAGAATGTAGTTGCATCCCTGTCGTTTAACTCTAAGACTGTTTCTGAAGCTGCTGATAAAGGTGTATATTTACAAACTTTGCACTGTTTACGCTTCAGATACAGATAATACTAGAAGCCAAATAGTACGAATCTTAATTGATGGTGGCTCACAGAGGTAATTTATTAGATCTGATCTGGCTAAAGAACTAAAATTAAGGACTTTAAGGAAAGAAAGGTTATATATTTTTCATTTGGATATAGCCAAGGTAGACTAATAGAATATAATGTTGTTCAAATTACCTTGAAATTTCAGACTCATCCCCTTTAAAACAATCCAATATTTTTTCATTAATTTCTTTCAACGCAGACTGTTTAGAAGTAAGCAAAAACACATTTTCTTCTACCATATTCTTATCCCAAATGTCTTTTTTAATTTCAGGTTCTAGTACATTTATTATTTTATAAATAGCTTGTCTCATGACTTTTCTAGTAGATTTCAATTTAATAATATTGTCTGCCATAATAACAACAAAAGTAATTTTATTCTCTTACCTGGTGCAGGCTTCAAATGGTTAATTCCAAATTTAGTAACTCACTTTCCTGGTGAAGCACATACACAAGTATTCTGAATGTTAATCCTGCCACGTTCAGTGCAAAGGAATAAACTTTCACTAAAACGAAAAAAAAACCACATTCTAAATTTAAAAAAATTGTACGTGCGCAACTGCATTGCCCTAATGACTCAATCACTATTGAAGCTCTTGTTACAGATACAATTTCTGGAGCGATCATAAAAATTCCCCCAAAAAACATTTTAGAAATATTAAAATCAGAAAATCTAAAATTAGCCGATAATGGTGAAGCAGGTGAAATAAAAATATTGTTAGGATCTGATTCATGTTGGGAAGTGCAAACAGGCGAAAAGAAAAGAATAACTAATAAATTATTTGTGGTGCCTTCTATATGTGGTTGGTCCTTAGTTGGATCTTTAGAAGGTGATCAGTCTAGTGCCTGTATTTTTACAACTTGTGCTTCTCATTGCTTGAAGGAAGATAATAATTCAGTTAATGACTGTTTGCGAAGGTTTTGGACGCTGGACCATTTGGGTTTAGAGGAGAACGAGAATCCTGACGATAAATCAGTCATTGAGAAATTTGAAAAAGAATTTCATTTTACTAATGGCAGATATGTAGCACGTTTGTTATGGAAATCACATCATGCAAACTTAAGTAATAATTTAGAAAATGCCAAGCAATGTCTAGTATCTTTGGTTAATAAACTAAAAAGTGATGAATGGCTTAGGGCGAATTATGATAGCATAATAAATGAACAGTTAAAAAATGAAATAATTGAAAAGTGCGAAATTGAAAGTTGTGTTAGTAGTAAAATGTATTACATGCCACATTCTCCAGTTGTAAGAAAAAATGTATCAAAAACTAAAGTCCGTATCGTGTTTAGCAGCTTCGAAGTGTAATGGGGTATTTCTAAACAACTGTTTGATGCCTAGCCCAAATTTGAATCCTTCTGTTTTGAACTTGATATTGCAGTTCAAACAATAAAAACATGCGTTCTCAGCAGACATTGAAAAGGCCTTTCTCTAGATTGGAATCTCTGAAATTGATAGAGATGTATTACGGTTTTTATACTTTGATAATAATTACAATTTGAAACATTATAGAATGACTCGCATTCCTTTTGGTGTGTCATGTAGCCCTTTCATTCTGGTGTGCACTATAAAAAAGCATATAAAGAAAATAGAGTTAGAAAATTCAGATATTTTTTAGATGTTGAACTGTTCGATCTACGTAGATGATGTTTTCTATGGTGCAGATTCTGTGGAACAGGTTAAGTACTGGAGCCTATTGTGCTTAAAGATGTGGAATGAATTTGCGTCAGTTTAATACAAATTCCGAGAAACTAAAGAAACTTTGAGATGATTGTAGAATAATTAAATCAGAAAATGAACTAAATAGTTCTTTAAAAGTATTAGGGCTTAACTGGGTACGAGTAAAGATGTAATTTCCTTGAACATAGACAACTTGTGCGAAACATTAAATAGTTGTAGAAAAACCACAAAAAGAAACATATTAAAGGTGACTGCTACTATTTTCGATCCAGTAGGTTGCTTGGCGCCATTTGTATTACGTGCAAAATTCATAATGCAAAACCTTTGGCAGTTGGGTTTAGAATTTGACGATGAAGTTCCAACTGAATG